CATATATACACACACACATATATACATCTTTTCTTTCTTTTCAGGTGGCCACATATGGATGGGTTTCCATGGTCCAGCTCATCTCTCCAACGAGTCCTTTAAGGAGCTTGATGACATTCATCACATCGGCCATGTTGATGCTGCTTTCCGCATGCACAGTACAGATCCCAATGCAGAAGACCATGATCACATCTATTTCTTCCTGGTATGATCCACAGATACTTTAATTCTGTTAAAAATTTAGATCGAGAGCAAGGTCTAGACTGTCCTGATACTTTTGATCTCCAGGATGACAAAGTGTTCAGCTATTACAACCACACTCTGGAGGAGGGCTATCCAAAAGAGATGCATGATGATTTTCCTCATGTCCCCGATCACCTGGATTCTGCTGTGGAGTGTCCCAAAGGAGAGTGCACTACCGACTCAGTTCTGTTCTTCAAGGGTATGTTGGCATTCACTGCAAAAAATATTCATCTCACTAAATCAGGACTATAATTAAGCTGTAAAATAGTGTTTAAAATAAAAGAAACAATGGAATCAGTTTAAGAGAGAAGAATTTAACAATGTTTGACTGAACCAGTGGGTTATCTCAGTATTATAAGGATAATTCTGCCCCCTCGGGGAAAAAATTAGCTGCAGCAGGAGGGTATTTTGTCATAATGTTTTCATGAGCACACTGTGGAGCTAACTGGTAAATCAAACTACTAATTTCACCCCCACAGGACATGATGTGCATGTTTTTGATATTGCCACAAAGACAGTGAAGACCAAGACATGGGACCACCTGCCAGTCTGCACCTCTGCCTTACGCTGGCTGGAGCACTACTATTGTTTCCATGGACACAACTTCACCAGGTTCCACCCAGTGACCGGAGAGATTAGCGGTAGTGACTACCCCAAGGACGCCCGCAGATACTTCATGAAGTGCGCCAACTTTAGTGAGTTTATCCAGAAAAGAACTATCAAATTTATTTTAAATCATTTTGTACAAGAAAAAGAAACGGTCTCTTTTGGGTTAATGTGAAATCTTCTGTGTTTGACTGCAGGTCATGGAGGTGACTATACAATCCCAAAATGCAGTGACGTCAAATTAGATGCCATCACCACTGATGATGCCGGCAAAAGTTATTTCTTTTCAGGTAAAGTAAAAAATAAATAAATAAACAAATAGAAAACATGAAAATAGTCTTGAAAGGAATAGCCTATTTCAGCATTTTGGGAAATACAGTGGTCTATTTGTTTTTAGAATTGAAATAATTAAGCATGAAGCCAGAGCCAGGAGGCAATTAGCTTAGCTTAGCATGAATACTAGAAGCAAGCAGCAACAGGTAGCCTGGGTTTTGCCAAAATTAGAAAATACAAGTAGTTACTTCACAACCATGGCTGTATATGGGGAACTGGATACAGCGTTGTAGGCAGGACCCCGTTCATTCCTGTGAAAGCTGCTCAGTGGCGCATGAAGCCAAAAACATTTAACTGCCTCGTATAAATTACACAGATGATCAGTGCTGCTTAGGACCATAGATCAAGCACACAGGCCTTTGGTTTAGCTGTCCGCTAACTTGATTGGGGATAAAATGATTAAATTGTGCAGCTCTTCAGGGCTTTCCAAATGTTATCAGAACAATGGATCAAATTCTTATATAAAGCGAACCATTTTGTGGGGGTTGGAAGGTTCAAAAAAATGTATCCACTGATTCACAGATGCCTCTTTCACAATGTAAGTCTATGGGAAGAAGTCTTTTTGGGCCCCATGGCATCACAGGACAGACTCAGAAGTTGTAATTCCACTGTTAGGCCACTATGAAAATTGACTTCATCGGCTGGCGCACTCCTGTGGCACCTGCACCTAACGACTAAATATCCAACCTGCGTGACATGCATTAAATGCAAATTAGCAAAAGTTACCATGCTAACATGCTAAACTAAGATGGTCACCATGGTAAACATCATACCTGCTAGATATTAGCATGTCAGCATTGTCAATGTGAACATGTTAGCATGCTGACGTTAGCAATTAGCTCAAAGCACTGTTGTGCCTGTGTACAGTTTTGTAGCTAGCAGCATCACAAGCAGGACATGATGTGTTAATTAGTGGGCTGATTAATAGAGGTCCTGTGAGAAGTAGTTTTTAATTTTGGCAAGGCTAGTTGTTTCCCCCTGTTTCCGCGGTCTTTATACTAAGCTAAGTGCTGCAGGGATGATGTTTATTTGTAGGGCGACCCGGAAGTTAGCGTCGCCCTGGTTCTCTGCCCTGGGATTTTTCCAAAGGAGTTTTGATTATTGCAGAAACCAAGACCTGAGGCAACAATCCAACAATATCAATCCATGGTATGTACACATTTTGTTCAGCAAGATAAGTAAATGTACCCGCCAGAGGTAAAAAGCTAACGTTTAGGCTATAGAAGGCCTACACTGAGGTCACATGACTTAACCTTGCCTCCACAGCCTGGCTGTAAAGCCATGTTCAGTGTGATGACGTCCTGTGGTCCGATTTAATCACTTTTTAGCAACCGCCTTTTTTAAGATGCATTAAAGCTGCAAAATTCAAGAGAAGGATATTTCCTGACGTATTTTCTGTCAAAACATTAAAGTCTCTTGAGCTTGTGTTAACATCTTATTTCAGGCATGTAAACAAAAACACATAAAAAAAACCCCACTGACTTTGAGACAAGGGAACCAGAGGTGCAAAAATGATAACTAATTTTCGCACTTAAGGATACACTCCTGCAGCACTTTATTAGGGAGTGGTATTGATCCTCTTATCTAACGTTTGGCAAAAATGCAAAAAAAAAAAAACAACAACAAACAAACCCATATCTCCTAACATGTCAAACTATTTTTTTTGGATTGTTTGTCCTGTGAAAATGTATTTTGAGGTTGCTGTAAAGCTTTCACTAAGACTTAAGTTCAATCTGCTCAGGCTCCATCTACATGCGTCTGGACACCCACCGTGACGGCCTGCACGCCTTCCCAATCACCAGGACGTGGAAGGAGGTGGGACACGGGGTGGACGCCGTCTTTTCCTACAATGACAAACTCTACTTGATTAAGGTAGACCTTGAAGTTACCACTAAAAAAATCTTGAAAAACCTCAGACTATTATCTATCTGCATTAAAGTTGAAATAACTCCTGGTCTGTCAAACACCTGCAGGATGATCAGGTTTACATCTACAAAGCAGCTGCTCAGTACACCCTGATTGAAGGCTATCCTAAAACCCTGAAGGAGGAACTTGGCATTGAGGGACATGTGGATGCTGCTTTTGTCTGCAATGCTGAACACACAGTGCATATAATCCAAGGTAATGTAACAGAATGCTTATTTATCTTTTTTTGTGAGTTTCTGGGTTTAACTTGTTTTGAGTATCGACAAAACTCAGGCGGAAAAAAAAGATCAAGATAAAAACAAATAGTACAGGCCTAAGGGTTATGTTTGCTCACAAGTGACTAACAAACACATATTTTTTTTACTTCAAACAGAACAGCATGTTCGTGATGTCGACCTAACTACCACACCCAGGGCTGTGACTCAGGACCGGCCCTTGCCCTTGTCCGGCATTGACGCTGCTACATGCGATTCTCAAGGAATAAAACTGTACAAGGGCTCACAATATTACAGCTTTGACAATATCATGTTAATGACTATGGCCAAAGTGATCCCTGAGGCCCACCCTATTACCAATGAACAAATGGGATGTAAAGATTAGGAGTCAGGGATGAGAGAATGTTTCACAGTCATCTGCTTACTTTTGCTTAAACTCTTCATTCCCCTCCTACACACAAAAGAGTTACATCTATCCATCCAAGCATACTGGTAGTGTGGAATGGAAGTCATTTGTGAAGTGGGGAGTAAAGACCTAAATGTAAGATCCTGGAATAATCCTCCCATGCATAGTGGAGTTTGAGTTGTTCAATGAATAAAATGTGGGAAGCTACTTGTGTCAGTTTCAGTGATTATTATCTTTATTATAAAAAGAACATTTAGAATTTGTTGATATTTTTAGGTTGCACATGTGAAACTGATCAGAAACAGTTGTGAGGAACAAAATCCAGATGACAGTGTTTGGCCACTAGAGGACCTACTATACAAATGAATGTGTCCCAGCAGAATAAAATGAGGGGATTAGATTCACTGTAAACCTGAGTCAGCTGCAGTAACAGAGTCGAGATGCAGACATAGACTGAATGTGTGAACATCTTGAGGAGCAGGCCTTTTTGCACACATCACATTGAGACATTTCACCATATATATCCAGGGTGCAACAGTGCCTATTTTTTACCCAGGACATCTGTGCCATGATGATGTCACACTGGATGGGTACTTGTATACAGGGTTCTGTGTGTCCTTAAAAAGACATTTGAATTAATGAATGAATGATAACACTGAAGGAATTCAAAACAGGACAAGTTTCAGATGGTTTTAATCCTAACTCTAACACACTTAAAAATGGAAAGATGTGAAGAAGGATTTTCTGAGTCTTTTTTTGTTTTGTTTCTGGCCGGGCTGCTCAGAGCAGAGGATCCGCTGTCTGCTAGCTAGCTGTCACTGTACATGTGTAAAACTGGCTATTTAACCAAAAGTTGATGGCGTGGCTGAAACCGTTAGAAGGCAATGCATGAGTTTTTAAACTCGACACAATGGAAAACAAGGCAGTGGAATCTCACATGCACATTAGGAAACACAAAATTGCCAAGAAAACGCTGGATGTTTCCCAGTTTTGTTTTACCCTTGTCTCCACCACGAGACAAAAAAAAGTCTTGTTTTAATGTTATGATAAACATTTGGGCAAACTGTCCCTCACCCAAAGTAACTGATGTTGCTTCATGTGTTTTTTCTTTTCTTTTGATTTTGGTTGTTGTAAAATTGGTCTTAAATTAATTCAAAGTGGCACTGAAAAGTCCTTAATCTAATTTGCCATAAGCTGTAGGAACCCCATGTGTAGTCTACATGCCTCATTTGTGAGTGAGTTTTTGGTCAGCCCAAACATCCCTCTGTTTCCTCTGTGCTGCTACAGTGTGAACATTAGGGGCACACCCTCTCCACTTAAAGGCTGGGCAGCACAGATTGCTAAGGATAGCAAAACACTATCAGAAAGCTGCATGTTCACCGACACTCAAAGGAAATAATGCTCAGGTAACATCAGTTGCACATGTAGCTCTGTGCACTTGTGTGCACATTGCAGCGTCTTTGTCTTTTTGTGATCCCTGTCCTTATTTCTTGGCACATTGGTGGACTTGTTCTCTCCTTTACTCATGTTACACATAAACCATTTCAGAGGAGATGTGCTGTTAAAGGAGAAGAGGTCGTTGGAGACAACATCACATTCAGCCACAAAGTTTGGCAGCTCAGAAAAACTGAAAAAGGGAACTCCATTCCTGTGTTGAGCTTTTAATGATTTCCATTGACGAGTTGCAGGTGTGGGAAAAGGTCTGCAGGCAGGTGTGATGTTCCACGTCGTTGGCCTCAAATTGCTGGTGGCCACAACTGTATTTCTTGCAAAAAAAGAGATTGGATTCCTTCAGTTATCACAAGTGACCCTGTGAGCAGCCATAGTGCTGCATAAAGCATAACAGACTTCATTTTCATGCAGACTGAGAGTGAAGCACTTCACCAGCTGAGCCACAACAGAATCCCAGATAGATTTGCTCCTGATAAAACCAGAACATTTTTTGATGTCCTAACTAAAAAATAAAGTCAAACATTCCAGTGTCCTATAATATATATATTTTAATTCAACTTTAAATCAACCAAGCATTCAAGAACAAGGCTAATATGGTCTTTGTCGGCTATGTGGTTCATTGCTTTATTTATCATCTGCATGTGTGTGCTGGTGTTTTTTAAATCTGTCTGAAAGACAAAAAATCAAAATCAACCTTCCTATTTCCACCCTCCCAAACACAAAGCGTTCATGGCCAATGTGTCCAAAAACTGTTGGCTATTTTATTTAGGAGTCCTGGTCTCTGTCATTATTATAATATACAGTATTTTAACAAATGCTCCATACTCATATTGGACCATGTGGACCAACAGCCTGCAAGAGTCCAGAGGTCAGGATGGCATTAGCAGGCATTCAAGCCCTTTTCACTCCCTGGAGAGGTTTTTGTTCAGCCAAAATCCCTGGGACTTTCAGCACGCATAAAGGAAGTGCTGGCCTCAGCACAGCTTAATGGGCGAGGCCAAGGGGACGGACACACACACACACACACACACACACACACACACACGCATGTGCATATAGAAACAGCACTGCACATACACACATGCATAGCAGACAGTACAGACTGTTTTCATCACACACACACACACACACACACACACACACACACACAGCTGCCAGCCATCACATCATATTAATAAACAGACCTATGATAATGCTAAAATAGTAAAGATGCAGTTTATTTTACTTTATTTTGTTTTATTTGAAGCATGAATCTGATCAATAAATTCAATTCCAATCTGCATATGAGAATTTCTCATGGACAAATTTTGGCCAGAGAGTGGTACGACAGCAAAGTGCACAGGGACACCAAACACATGTGTCACATCCAGTCATTAGTTTTCAGTGTCTTGATTTAAGGCGGAACTAATGTTGAATAAACCAGCAGACATCGTCATGTTAAGGTACTATCTTGTATTGTCGCTCCAGTAGCACAGCACAATTGCTATGTTTACATAAAATATTCTGTTGTTTTTCTTCCCTTATTCCAAAAAAAACCCCAATATCCTCCTGAGACCCGAACTTTTGTTTGCTATGCTTTTTTAAATTTCTCCGAGCTATTTGGGATCTGTAGGACCCGATAAGTATAAAAACCTAGACATTGTCAACAATAATAAAGTCCCAATATCCTCATAGGCGTACTTACTAATTAGCAGTGTCTTAGCTTGTTATTGTTGCTAAAATTGGTCAAATTTGTTGCCATGTCAAACTCCAAACATTACTAATCATAAATAAACAAGTATCAACCATAAAATGTGATCAGGTTTTGGGACCTTGTCCACTTTTGTGTCGGCATCAGCTGTGGACTCACTTGGCAGAGATGGCTGCCATCTGGTTCTTACATGGATTAGTGTATTGTGCTCTTACTACCACAAGATGGCACACTAATGTCCACGAACGAGGACAACAGGTCTGAGTTAAGTAGAAGTATAAGGTCAAGTTAACCCAAAATGTGATGTCCTCATATGAGGTCACAGGGTTCCAGGAGGATATTCCTATGCTGTTTACAAGGCTAATGGAAATGAATATTCCGAGAATACTCCTGTTTACATGCAGCCATGCATACTCCAGTTGACGTGCCCAAATGTGTCGTTTATCACGTCAAAATGTGGAAAAGTGGAACGGCTGGAGCAAGTTTTTACTCAAAGTTTTCCACCAACAGACTTGTGACTGTTTGAACACACCCTCCGTCTTTCATTCAATCGACCACCTTCTTGAAAAAGTTGGCATTGCAATAGTTGCACAAATCCAAAAACCTGTTGATATCCAAGTTTAAAAGTGGGTGTGTCTCTCCTTCTGAACAGAAATGTGGGCTTTTCTTTTGAGCATGCATTTCTACCCCAGCCTTGCAAACTATTGGTTAGTTATTTTATGTATAACGTATCCATGACAACACACAGAGCTGACCGTAAGCAGGCAAGAGGCCGTATGTCACAAATTGCAGTAAAAACCTGAACATTTTTCGAACTAATGGGGCTTTGGCATTTTGGGCCGTCGGATCAATAGGATGGCACCATCTTAATAGGAAAATGCGTCATTTGGAAAAAGGCCTAATTCGGAATAACCAAACAGAATGTGCTGCTTACACGACCCACATCAAATTCCGATTATTTTCATATTCAGAATAATGATGGAATATGGGCGTGCATGTAAATTGGAACACTTAAAATTCTTAGTCAATTTTGAAATCATGAGTCATTGATTTCACACAGAAGAAGAAAAAAAGGAGAGAACATATCAAAATAGAAAAAGCTAACCATGACAGTAAACAGGTATGGTACAAAAAGTTTATTCAGTAACAGTTCTGTAAACATCTGAGGTAAATGAACATTTACATCAACATGTTCTTTAACAAAAGGTTCAGACACAAGGCACTTCTCTTCAAAGACAGTCGTTTTACAACGGGAGTGATAGCAGGGGTTGTTCTTCATTTCAAACACGTGGGAGTCTGTGTCCCTGCTTGTAGGGGCGCCGTAAAAATCCCATTACACAACTTCGGTTTTCCATCGTGGGATTTTTTATTCAAGGCACATCCGTGGTGTGAAAATTGGAATAGCCAAAAGTCTCTAAATCAGTATTCAGGACAGAAAAGAACAATCACTTTAGATTAATGTCTTGTCCATCCCAGGTCTAATTTGAGCATGTTATTTCCATAAATAAACAAAAATATGTTAATTTCCCTCCCCCAAGGACACCCTTTTTCTTTTCTATATATAATATCCTCATGTCCTCATAACAGTGGTCTATAACTATCTGTGCAAATCTTTATCTACATATCAAAGGTACTAAGAACTGCTTGGAACAATAAGGTTATGAAAAACATTTCAGCAATAGAAAAAAGTCAAATGAACCTTGTTCTCTTTTAGAGACGAAGCTCAACGTAACATCTTTTGGTTGGAGCCATGATTTTAAAGGTAGGGGTGAAGCAAAGCTCTTTAAAAATCCATCATGTATTGTGATATCTTTGGCACAAATATCTTTGGTTTGTTAAATATCTTTGGTTAAATCTTACACATCATGATTTATTAATTCTTTTCTAAAAACTGATGATGTGCTTCAGCTGCCACAGTGTGTTGAAGTTGTTTATTGGCACCTAAGTTTGATCAGAGACATGTAAACATTTGACAGCAAAGTCAGTAAACAGTATAGATTCAGTTTATGGTTCATCCTGTATTCAGAAAATGTATTGGACTTTGGTAAAAAGTGGCTGATGTACC